TAAGCCAGACTGAGACAATTTCAAGGCTGAGGAAACCTTTGCAGGTGTTTTGCATTAATTAGCTGACTAGATTGGGACACAGGGAGCCTACAATGTTGAACTTTGTCATGATATTCTAATTTTGTGAAATACTGGATTTGGGTTTTTTTTGTCTTTAATCCATAATCATCAAAATTGAAACAAATAAAGGCTTGAAATATTTCACTTTGTGTGTAGTGAACTAATATAACATACAAGTTTCACTTTTTGAAACAAATTATTGAAATAAATGGACTTTTCCTCGATATTCAAATTTTTTGGCACATACCTGTAAGTGTGAAGATGGGGGCCAGCTGATCAGCGCAAGCTTTCAGGCAACTGGCAACTCAGCAGTGCTTTACCTTTGAAATGCATGAGGATGAAGGACTGTGGTTCTTGTTACCACTGCTAACTCTGAGAGACGAGACAGTCCAAGTAACTTCAAAACAGTGCTGATTTATTCAAAGGATCACAGGTAAAATTAACATTACACACTCAGGTATCTTGCACCTCCAAACTGCTCGCAGGCAGATGTAAGATGAAAGACCCTGAACCCACCAGGCCTATACATTATATCCCTTCGGTTGGGCTAGCCCCATACTACCCAGAAACGTCAACCGAGATGTCTCTCTTGCCAGCTTTGCAGCTGGTCATAGCAGTAGTCAAAACATGAAGCAAATCAATGTGTGTGTGTGTCTGTTGATTAAGTGGTGTGTAGCTAAAAACATTCTCACAGACTTCTAGTACATGTCGTGATATTAAACATAAGAACATATTATGGCTAAGGCTACAGTTATACACGTCATAATAATAATATTAAACACCCTGTCTGCTGACAGACATCAACTCTTCTCTCTAGTTATCCTTGACCAGATGTACCCTGTAGAAACTCATGAGCATGACTAAGCATTTAACAGTCTAACTAGACATCCTATCTCCACTAAACATTTCTAATACATAAAGTATCTATCCAAGTTCTATCTGACTAAAAATACCTAACAAGGACTTTTAGAATACAATGAATTTAATTAAGTTCACCTCCACAATAAAAGTATGTTAAATGTAATGCTATATTCTGTGCCAAAAATAAACCTAAAAATGTCTTATTTTGTTCAACCAATAAATCCAAAGATATTCAGTTTATTTTCATGTATGGATGAATATGTATGTAGAAAAGCATAAATTCCTCATAAAAACGGTGGAACCAGAAAATGTTGGTGAGTTTTTCTTCAAGTTGTTGCTCATAGGTTTTCTATAAATGAATTGACTGGTTGCAGTTTACTGAATATCTTATCTGTATTTAATGTATCGGAAATCTTTTACGTGGTATAAAAAGTACGCAAGCAAATACAAATATCTCACATTTGTACAGTAGATTGAAGCAAACGAACCTGATGTTGAAAGACAATAGCTGTGAACGTTTCTGGTGTTGTTTATGATATGCCTTAATTCCAGTCCCCGCTCTCTCGGACTGCCCTGTGATGCAAAACTGTCACCCCTACCCACTACTGCGCCATAGGCATTACGTTACGTTAGCTCGGTGGGGTGGCTAGAAGAAAGCTAGCTCGCAGCTTAGAGGAGCGAGTCGCTTGTGCTCTGAAGAGACGGCTTAAGTAACAATTTGCCCGATTTTACCGAAAGCAAGACATTTTACTCGTAAAGGTCGTGGTGAGTATTTTGTTCCCAGACATTTTTCATTTTTCCTTCCTTTTTCTTTTCTTTTTGGATTTTTTCAACGATGCTTTTTCTATTTTGCGAGTGGACAATACGTAATGTGCTGGCTAGCGAGGTAGCTAGCAAGCATAGCTAACTTGGAGACGCTCAGCCTTCTCGAACACAGAGTCGATGGTTGTGGTTTTTAGAAAAACGGCGCTTTGGATGCATCTTAGTTACGATTTCACCCCCTTTTTGCAAGTTTGTGTAGCTTTGTTTTTGTAGAGTTTATTGTGGAGACTTTTCCTTAACTGGACTGATTTGTTTTTGGCTCACCTTTCAGCTAGCCCATTAGCTAGCTAGCTAACTGGCTAACAAGCTCCTTTGGTTTGATAGAGGCAGCTTCATCGTCATCTATGATTGAATGCTGATTATCAGGATTTTGCAGGCTTTGGTTTTTGCAAACAAGGAACTGGTTTGATTGCTGTGTAACATTGTTTTTTTTTAAGCTTTTTAATTGGTATGTGGCTAACGTTAGCCATGCTAGCCGGAGCCAACCAGGCTAGCGCAGGGCCTGTGTTTCACACTAAAGCCTGGAGGTGGCGCTGTCGCGGTCCAGGCGGGTGTGTTGTGGATTGGTTAGGTAATTTTTGATATTCCCGTCTGCTTTTCTGGCTCATTCTACTCAGTCAGCTTGTTTTTTTTTTTTTTTTAAGTGTGGAGTGGTTTTTCCCTGTTTTTCTCCCATGATGAAGTTTTTGGAAGTTTTGGACTGCCAGTGACCACAGTTTTGACACATAACGTTACAAATACACATCTTATGATTAATAATTAAACGTTTGTTTATCTGAAAGCGTATTATGGCTGTTTATGTGCATCAAAATCAACTCACGCCTTCCCATTCACTCCTAGGCCAGAGGTACACCCATAAGTTCCCTTTTAGTAGTTTAATTAAATGCTAATGGGAAAAATATCTTAACTTTACATTAGGTGCAAAATACAAAGAAATGCAAAACACATCAACAGAGATTGTTCTGTCAGGACTAGCATAAATGCAGCTATTCAAGTATGCATGTATTCAGTTCCATTAAAAGAGGCCTTAGACGATCAGAAAAGTTCAGCCTCATATCTGGGTTGAGATCCCATTAAGTACATTATGAAGAATTAATGTATATGTCAATATAATAAATACATGTAAGCCTTACTGTTTCTTGGTCATTCTTGAATGGTTATGACCATGAAAAAGATCTTGAATTGAATTTCTTTGGTGTTAAAAAAAGTACACACTGTATAGTCATTTTGCATTTATCACATTACTGAGTGAAATAGTGGCATTTCTATTTTTCTAGAAAATTCATTTTAGAAGGTTTATTGGGTTAAGAGTAATCATGGCAGTTCTATTTATCTTACATTTCCCACATTGAGTTTTCAAAGGTAGTAACCTGGGTAATATGTTACTGCACACTGATGCTCCATGTTTAAGATTTATGAAATAAATGGGAACACTAAATTGTGTATTGCCAAAACCACTCCATGAAAATGTCCTATCAAATTTTATAATTTTTCTCATTTAGTCATAGTTGCCAAGCTGCCGCAGGTAAATCAGCAATCAGCATTTGCTTTGTTTGTATAAACATAAAAATGCCTTTCACACTGTAGGTTTATACAATTTGTCAGTTTAAGATTTAGGAACCTAAGCTTAAAGATATTTATTTATTTATACTTTATTGACATGCTTCAACTTGTTCCTCTGCTGACATTAGTCTGAAAGCATTTCACAAACTCCTTTCTGAACTCTGAGGGCTACACAAACATAAGCACATGTGGACCAATTAGGGCCTGCTTGTTTCTTGATATGAATGTAATGCTTTTGTGTGTAGTCCCAGGTTTACATTAGTTACTCTTGGATCTCTTTTCTATTCTGGCATTTCACGTAGCTTATTTTCACCAGCTCTAGTTAAACATTATTAGTCAGGTTATAGTCCCAAAGTGGCCAGTTGTAATGGGGAGTTTTTTTATTTCCTTAAACTGTGTTACTGTGTTTGCCTCATCACTGAGTCCTTTACACTCAGTCAACCAGGTAAGATTTGGTACAAGATAACCCTGCTCAGCTTGACTGAGGTGTGTTTTCTGTCACCTCAGTATAAATCGCGAGGGGCGAAGGTGAAGGTCAAGACACCAGCCCAACCAAACTGACCCCAGCCCACAGTGTCAAACGTCAGGCAGACGACAGCCCTGCACACAGACGCTATGGAGTGAGTGATGAATGTTCAGCCCCCTGTCAGCTGGTTGTGGGGAGGGGGTCACTGTTGATGCCACTACTGTTTTCATGTTTGTATGAAGGCTCATGTTCCAAAGCTCTGGGCTTCACTGACTACTCACATGCCCTTAATAGTGGATATAGAACATAGCGCAGGTGGGCTTTACAGTACCGGAAGAGTAAATACTTTGACCCTGGAAGTGCCCAGTTAACGTAATGTGTGGTACGGTTTGTGCTTTACAAACTCAGATAAATCCCATGTCCTGTGGAGAATACAGTATGTTGACTGGTGCTGCAGTGATTAGAGGATTTCCAGAGAGTGAATCAGCAGCTGCTTTTGATTAAGAAATAAATTTTAAAAATAAATAAATATAGCAGCATCTACTGGTTTTAGTGTGCCAGATGCAAAGCTGTTTTTTTTTTTTGTTTTTGTTTTTTTTTTGTTTTATGAGAAAATGGTTAATAGATTAGTGGGGAAATAATTGGCAGATTAATCAATAATGAAAAAATGTTAATTGCAGCTTTGTTAGTAATAAAATAAAGTATCGTGATATAAGACCCGGCTGACCAGGATTTGAGTTTCTTAATATCATGGCCTAGTTTAAATGGTAAAAGTGTGATAAACTCCCGCACTCCGTCTTGTTTAGGCTAAACATTAAATCCACAGTATTTTGGTTTGACTGACCATTGAGTATGTGGCGTTTAAGTGGTGCGTTACATCTGCTGTACATGCTTTGCTCTTGTGTTCATCTGAATTATCCCCAGAGACAATATCACTCACCCTTAATTTAAGACAGTGAAAACACCAGTACACGTCCAGAATTTCGGTTAATGAATTAAAATTCAGTAAGATTTCTTTCAGACCCCTCAAACTATAAACGGGGTCTATCTCACTGGTTGGGGAAAAAGTCCTGCTGCAAACCTGTTTTAATATTCTGTCAACGTTCAGTTGGTCGCAGGTGGAAGTGAGGAGTGGTTACCTGCGTTTAACTATGTGGTGTATCACAGTATTACTGTCACAAAGACGTGATGCTACTTGTTCGCCATCAGAGGGGATGTCTGTTGCAGTGCTGCATGCCTTACCTCTCTCCATCCTCAGACGCTGAAACATCCTGTGGGAAAACACTGTTGATGGTTTTTATGTGGTGTCTTATTCCGTCTGCAGGTGTTGCTTTTATAGTCTTTGAAATGAACCACTCAAGTGGTGCTCACTTAGAGTGAATGTCCAGTAGTATTTAGGATTCTCATTGTGATCAGGCTAATGTTGAACCTCCTGTTCTTGTACACTCATATAATACTGTGTGGTTTGCAAGTTACTCTTAGTTACGTGATGTCCGCAGCACCACACCTCTTATACTAGAATAACAAACAAATGATGGTAACATTCTGACTTGAGTGTTTGCTACTCTTACATTTGGTTCTTGTGGACTAAACGATGATGACTGAGGGACCAAGTCAGTTTGTTGCCAGTACCAGTACTCAAATCCCAGTTACCATGTCCAGTATGTTGTGCTTCAAACATGGATGTTTAAATGTGACCTTGAGTTATTGGACATAATTTCACTGTTTTGTTTGTTGTTGTTTTTTTTTTTGTTTTTTTTTTTTTTCAAAAATAGCTTTTAGTGGCAGTTGAGATGATTTTATTTTTACATTTAGACTGGGAGGAAATTATGAAGCCACTATAGAAGCCTATAAGTATTAACCAAGGAAAGGCTGATGACAATTCCTTGCTAATTTCAAGGCATCAAAATAAGGATGATTTTGCACTCATGCCTGCTGTTAGTACAGTCAGGGTAACCCAGAAGGTTGCAGTTTATCCCTTTGTTCAGCATGTGTTTACTTTTGACTTAAACTTTTTTTATACTCTCCCAGGAAACCACTGCTGTTCACATGCTGTTGTCCAAACAGCCGGGCACTGTCCAGGATTTGACGTTCATATTTTACTGGTTCATGCCACTAAACCTGAGATTTGTGTCTGTGTCTTCCCGCTAGTCGTTCGCCCTCCACCTCCAGCCTCATGGCCAGCAGCAACGTCACCAACAAGACCGACCCGCGCTCCCTCAACTCCCGGGTCTTCATTGGCAACCTCAACACCCTGCTAGTCACCAAGGCAGATGTCGAGGCCATCTTCTCCAAATACGGCAAGATCGTAGGCTGCTCTGTCCACAAGGGGTACGCATTCGTTCAGTACTCCAATGAGAGGAACGCCCGAGCTGCTGTCGCCGGGGAGGATGGGAGGATGATTGTTGGACAAGTGCTTGGTAAGGATTCACTTTTTCAACCTTCTGCATTTTAACACAGGATTTTACCAGTAAACCCATTTAGGGCCTTTATATTATGCTCTCTCATGACTGTACTTTTGATATAAAATGCGACTAGACCTTAGAAAAACTATCTTCTTTAAGTAGGTGTCAGCAGGATAGTGAGTCCAAAAATGTAATCAGTCAGACAAGAGCTCTGTGTGCACCCGCTGCCTTCCTGGAACTTAATTTTAGTATCACCTCTTGAGGTGTGCTGACATTTAGCTCCCCAGATGCTCCTCCAAAGCAGGTGGAGGGCAGTGGAAACAAACACAGAGCCCTTGACAAATGTTATATACTGCTTGACGCGTTTCAGTAGGTTCCTGTATTGTCAGAATGCTATGAATGATCTGTGGTCTGTTTTCTCTCAGACATCAATCTGGCTGGAGAACCCAAACCACACAGGTCAAAAACCACCAAACGCTCCGCTGGAGACATGTACAGGTTAGTCACCGTTATAGTTACATTAATGCTGCAGGTAAAATAACATTAGTAAGCAAACACTGAAAATGGAAAGTGAACCTAAACTCACCTCTCTTGAGAAGACACCTTTGCAAAACAATGCAATAACAATATCACCTGACTCCATGTTTACTTACAAATCCTTCTCATTATTCTTCCTGAACAGCAGTTCCTCATTTGACCTCGACTATGACTTTCAGAGAGATTATTACGATAGGTGAGTAGAATCTTTCTACTTGTCTCCCAGTTTGAAAAGATAACACAAAGCACACTCCAAAATGACAGGTCATCTTCTGTCACCTGTCAGTTTTTAATTTCTGTAGTTTCTGAGATTTCTGTCCTTCTTGACTAATAACAGCAGTTTGTTTCTCTGTGCCCACAGGGCTGTCACTGTGCTTGCACATAGTGTTTTTAATGGTTACAATGTTTCCATTTTCACCCCTGCTGTAGATTCTCACCACAAAGTGCTGAGAATGTCTTTTCTCCGTTTGAAACCAGAATGTACTCGTACCCCTCCCGTGTTCCTGCTCCCCCTCCCCCCTTGTCGCGGGCTGTCATCCCATCCAAGCGCCCGCGGGTCAGCCTCAGGGGAGGAAGGAAGCGGCGCAACAAGAGCGGAGTTTCCTCCAAGAGCAGCCAGCGGATCTCCTCTTCCAGAACAAGTACGTGTCCCTCACTGGCTCCTGTAATTTGTGCTCAACTGTTTGATTCCACTTTCTAAAGAACTGAAACTAAAGGAAAGTCATTCAACTTATTATTATTATTATTATTCAGAAAAAAACAAGCAACACTTGAGTGTTGTTGGTGCTGAAACAATTGGCCATCAGAAATTAACCACTGACTATTTTGTTTATTGAATAACTGTTGGGTTGGTTATTATCTGGTTCTAGTGCCAATAATGAAAATAATGGTTATTTACAGTCCTGTTTTGACCTACTGGTAATAGTTGTAGCCTTGCACGCACACCGTTTTATCTGTGCACAGTTTATTTATATTTGGTGGACAGTTATGTCTGATTTTTAGCACTTTCTCTCTGTCACACTTGACTCCAACTGTTGAGTCTTCCTCACACTCATCCTCCCTCCCATTTCTGTGCAGTGAAAGTGGATGAGCTGCAGACCATCAAGAGGGAACTGACCCAAATCAAAAGCAAAGTGGATGACCTGCTGGACAACTTGGAGCGCATGGAGAAGGACCACAGCAAGAAGTCTGGTATTTTGGGGCTCTTAACCATAAATCTGCAGTACAAAAAGAGCAGTCATACAGTCATTTTTAAAAACTTTGATAGTCAAATAGTCTTCTAGACACAGATCAAAGGTTGGCTCCTGCTTCTGTTCCAAATCAACAGACAACCAGATGACTTGCTGCTCATTTAATATGTTTAGTAATAAGTTCTGAATGTGCCTCCATGTTTGCCAGAAGCTAAGAGCATGAAAACGGAGCCAGGAGAGGTGACATCACCTCCACACACAAGCAACAAGAAGGATGATGGGCTGAAGAGGGAGAGGGAGAGCCAGGAGATCAATGACTCGGATGAGGAGGAGGAAGAGGAGGGAGATCTGCTGGAGGAGGAAGAGGTGAGGAAGGGGTCATCCAGGAACCCTTTTCACAAAAGCATTGTGAAGCGGGTGAGGGAGTTAACTGTCAGGCCTCAACAAGTGATTGTCATTCATTACACATTAATTTAAGCATTGTTAGTAAATATTAAAGACCAAAACATTTCCCTTTTTATCCTGTGTCTTAACATTGTCTTTCTGTAGACAGTGTATAAATCATCTGTTTTCTATAGGAACTGTTTTACTCTCTGCTCTATAAATTATTAAATGATGATTAAAATTGCAACACTAATAGTCCTCAGGATGAAGATCCATCTGTTTCTGCCTTGTCAAACTGCAGGTGAAGAGTCGGGAGAGGGAGGAGGAGGAGGAAGACGAGGAGGAGGAGGAGGAAGAAGGAGAGCATGTGGAAGGTGACGACGACGATGCTGATAGTGTCAACGGGGAAGAGGACTCGTAAGATCGGTCCACACCGACGCATGCAGCGTACACTCGGCATCTCGCAACAACTCGGACTCGTATTTTAAACACTCATATTGTAGATACAAAAAGCATAGGTGCACACAGACACAAGCATGGTGCACAGTCTGTCATTACGTTGTCCCTAAGGCTGATTTGTTTTGTTTTATTTTGCCCAGTATCACTGTAACAGGAGTAACTAGCTGTAATTTTGGGTTTGTGTTTTTACTGCGTAGTTGTTTGTCTTCAGGAGGAGGCACAAATGTGGACTGTAAATGTTCTCAGAGACGACAGCTCGACGGACATGTCTTGATGCAAGCACAGGAGCTCAGCTACAAAAGACTGTTTTTAGGTTCAACGTGTTTGTTTGGCCTTGTGTGTCTGTACTATGTCAGTTTTTTATACTATTTAGTTTAACTGTCAACAAATAAATTGCGATAAAATATTAAAATTTAATGTGCTGTTGTGTTTTTCTGCAGCCCACACACAGCAACAAAGGTTTTGTAGTTAAAATGAAATGGACTAAACTGAACCTGTGTCCATTTATCTAAGTCAAAACGACATTCAGTTTTTATTTAAAACAGGAGCACTTTCATCTGTGAAATATCCCCTGAGAATAACCTGTTTTATGAAAACCTTTAAAAGAGCTGTATAAGCAAAGTATGCACTACTAAATGGAAACTATAGTACAGTATATTTCATAAAATCCTGCTGTCCCTGAGAGTGGAATATAACTTGACTAATACTAATGCTTGTGTCAGTATAGTAGTAATATCTGCCTTACTGGAACTTATTTTTAAAAACAGAGTAATCAGCATTAATAGTCTGTATAAAAAAAAAAAAAGCCATAATATCGTTGATCTTCAACCCGCCACTGTTATTGCTGCTTTCAGCCAGGAGGTGGCAGTGGTGTCCTAACAAATGAATGGTGACACTGGGGTTAATGTGAAATGGTTGAATTTGACCAGAAGACCAATAACGGGTTCATAGACCATGAGGCCTCTGAAGAACTCTTCTGCCAGGAGGCTGTCTGGCACAGACGGTGGTTAAAGTCTGTAGGTAGCATCACTTTGTCCTTGGATCATGCCAGTGTTTATTACTCTCTGTCCTCGGTGCAGGTTGCATTCCTTTCATTAGTAAATGTAATATGCCTGCAACATCTGTTCTCTTTAGCTTTGGTCAAGGGCTGAACAGTTGCTGTTATAGACACACAGGAAATAAAGACAGGTGATCCATAAAAGCAGGGAACTCACCATAGACATCTGGTGCACATGCAGGTGTTGTATTTGTCAGCAGACATGTTGACAAGAAAAGTTGGTTTAAATAATGTCAGTGATGCCTTCATTCCATCTACAGTTGATGTCAGAGGTTTACATACACTTAGGCTGAAGTCATTAAAACTGACTTTTTTTTTAAATCACTCCACAGATGTCGTGTTAACAAACTCTCATTTTGGCAAGTCAGTTAGGACGGGCACTTTGTGTATGACACAAGTAATTTTTCCAACAGATGTTTACAGATAGATTATTTCACTTATAATTCACTATGTTACATTTCCAGTGGGTCAGAAGTTTACATACACTCAGATGACTGGGCCTTTAAACAGACTGGAAAATTGCAGACAATGATGCCGTGGCTTTAGAAGCCTTCTGATTGGCTAATTGACATCACTTGAGCCAATAGGAGGTGCAGCTGGGGATGTATATTAAGGCCACCTTCAAACTCAGCACCTCTTCGTTTGACATCGTAGGAAAATGAAAAGAAATCAGCCAAGACTTCAGAAAGTGTGGACCTCCACAAATCTGGTTCATTCTTGGGAACGATTTCCAAACGCCTGAAGGTGCCACGTTCATCTATACAAACAGTAGTACCCGAGTACAAACACCATGAGACAACACAGCCATCATATCACTCAGGAAGGAGATGAACGTACTTTGGTCTGAAAAGTACAAATCAATCCCAGAACAACACCAAAGGACCTCGTGAAGACACTGGAGGAATCAAGTACCCATGCATTTATGTCCACAGTAAAACGAGTCCTATATCAACACAACCTGAAAGGCTGCTCAGCAAGGAAGAAGCCACAGCTCCAAGACTGCAGTTTGCAGCTGCACATGTGGATAAAGACCTTACTTTCTGGAGAAATGTCCTCTGGTCTGATGAAACAAAAATGAAACCTGACTCGGTTCCACCAGCTCTGTCAGGAGGAATGAGCTCAAATTCTTGTAAGAACCTTGTGGAAGGCATCCCGAAAGCTAAACAATTTAAAGGCAGCGCTACCAAATACTAACTGAGCGTATGTAAACTTCTGACCCACTGGGAATGTGATGAAAGAAATAAAAGCTGAAAAGAAAATCTTTTTCTCTATTATTATTCAGACATTTCACATTCTTAAAATAAAGCAGTGATCCTAACTGACCTAAGACAGGGAGTGTTTATAGGATTAAATGTCAGGTGCTGTGAAAGACTGAGTTTAAATGCATTTGGCTAAGGTGGATGTAAACATCTGGCTTTAACTGTGGATTATTGCACTGGGGAGTTTGCTGTTTTTTGTTGTACAGACAACATGGGTTAACTGTTTGTCAGAGTGATGCACGAGGGAAGAAACTGTCCTTGTGTCTGGTCGTTTTGGCGTACAGTGTCCTGTAGTGCCATCCATAGTGCAGGAGTTCACTAGGATCTGATGGGTCTGCAGAAATCTTCTCTGCCCTCCTAACCTGTTAATGATAGTAACAAGTTAGGGATACTGATATTGTGATCCCTCAGTTTTGCACTGTATTTACCCCTTGGCTGGGAACCACTGTGTTCTGATAAAGTCAACATGTCTGCTAATTTGTATCACGCAAAACCTTTATTTAAAAAAGCTTTCAATTGAAAACACTGGACAGAGCCCATGTATATGAAATGTGGGAACAATTTCAGTCTTAAAAACTTCATCAGATTTCCAGTGATATGTGTGGAGTTTATTTCTCACCGTAGCGAAAGCCTTTTTCCCAGCAGATATTTTTGACATCTGACCAGTAAAATCACCACTGTGATAACAATAAAATTACTGATGGCTGAATTCCACTTTGGTTCACTTTTAGGGCCCTGGTGTTTCTCACGCTGTCCCATCATCACACTGTCATTGCTGAATGGGACGTTTGAAGGGAGCAGAGCCATTGTTAATTACATGATTATTAGCAACACCTGCTTTTCCTGCTATGACAAGTCAAAATGTGAAGTGTGAAAAAGGTCTGGCAGTATTTTTGAATGATTTGATTGCACCTGAGGAGGGAGAGAGACGGGGAGAGACAGGATGGCAACTACAAAAGACCACTACCAGCTGTGTCCTGTGTCCAATTAAGGAGATGAAACCCTCCAACATGCATCCAGTTTTTCACGGAGAAAATGTTTCTTTGTGTTTGTGTGTTTGCACCCATCTGGTTTTGTTTGGAGCACTGTCCCAGAGGAGTTGATTACAGCTCTGTGCATCATCTCAGAAATCAGAAATATACTGTAACTCCAGCTTGGCGTTGCGCTGAGTGATCATGAGACGTTCCACTGCTTGTTTATCTCTTCTGTGTATTTCTGTCAATCTTAACAGTGTGAGGACAGGCCAGATGTTTGGCGGGTTGTCATGCAGTGTGTTCGTGTTTTGCCATGATTGGTACAACGGGACAGGGAGTGTACTTCATTTTCTGAATGTCAGTGAAGGTGGTGATGGGTGTATAATATTTGGCATCATTTGTTTACCCCTACAGAGCTCACAATTACAGAGATACCGTAGGAAAGTCTGCAGACCAAAAACCAGAAAATGGACAGTGTAAGATCAATACTGTGCACCGCAAACACACACAGTGCAAAATTATAGGGATTCCACTGGAAATAGAAATACCATAAAGTGAAAGTGGACCCATGTGAACTCACTAATAAGTACTAAAGACACTGTCAGTTGTTATATACTGGAAAATGATTAAATTATAGGGGAGAAGCCTGTGTTCGGATGATGCTCTTTTGCATACTTTTGGAGGTTCAATTCAATTTTAGGCTTGTTTCAGTGTCTTGCTCGAGGAGGTTTTGACCAGTGTATAGCAGGAGCTGATAATCAAACCACTAATGCTGTTATCAATGCCAGACTCACTGTCCCAAGTGAGCAACACACATGCCACAATATGAGTTCTGTTTACTTCAGCACCGGGACACTGAGACCGTATATGATACCATTAAAAAGGTTTGACGATAAAGAAGCAGATCACTGTAAATCTCACAGTGAAGACTAAGAACCCACTGTGATTTTCTGTAAATCACTGCAGCAATCAAAACTCTGACATAGTTAACTCAGAGATTCTACCTACTAAACATATTATCATAACATCTGCTTCAAAACTTTAATTTACCCAACAGTTGCAGCTAAAACAAACTGCAAAATGCACTGCAGGCCCAGAATTAGAAATATTACTTTACAGCGCAGATACAGTTAAAATAACATTATACTTTAAAAAGCACTAGAAGAAGTACTCAGATTGTTTACTTATGTAAAAGTAAAAATACTCAGTTACAAATAAAAGTCCTGTGTTCAAAATGTTACTTAAGTAAAAGTACAAAAGCGTTTTCATCACAATAGACCTACAGCAATCAAAACTAAAAGTACTCATTTTGCAGAAAGGCACATTTCACATATATGTCATATTACTGGATTATGCATTATTGTGTTCATCACTGTAATGTTGCAGCTGGTAAAGGTCGAAGTAATAACTGCCTTATATACTTTTTATTTCACTTTACATACTGCTTGTGAATTTCCCACTGGGGATCAATAAAGTCTTATGATAAGGCTATACTGTATTTTGTTTTATTAATCTGATTCTGAAAAGTAATATAAGATATCAAATAAATGTAGTGCCGGAAAAATGTACAATATTCGCCTCTAAATTGTCGAAGAATGAACTAGCAGAAATTAAAATACTCCAATAAAGTACAGACACATCCTCAGTACCTCAGTACTTGAGTAAATGTACTTTATTTTCTACCTCCACCACAGACGCATTAAATGAGCACTGTATAATGGCTGCGTCCAATTTTCTGTTTAATAAGGGAAATGCGTGTGCGTGCGTGAGTGCGCGCACGCAGATAGTGAGCCCGCGCTGCAGAGACAGTGGGGAGCACAATCCGCGTGCAGCCAGCGAGAGGCGAGGATCTGCACGGTCAGCTGTGAACAATGACGGTAAGAGCAGCGCCGCAAATGGCACTTTACCGCACGTATTGCGTGGTTCTTAAAAATGTTCTGACCCGCAGAAACAGTAATGATCACCAAGACGATGCAGTGCGATGTGCGTTTTGTTGTTTTCATGCAGATTTAATGTTCTTATTGCTCGTTAGATCGACACCCAGTCTGCTGAAATGATGTTTTTCTTTGGACAGTGATAGAACACAGTGTAAATGTTGGCTGAGACGTGTCATTGTTTGGTGGCTGAAGGATGTGTAGTGATACTTTACAACCACTGACATGTCAAGAGTTTATGATAAATGAGTACAAACTTTCCTAGATAGTAGAAATGTTACCAATTGTACCTTTTTGTATCTCAGATTTCTCAAGAACTTGTCCTGATTGTGCAACAGGATTTCAGGAAGGCAATTAACAGATATGCTGCTACAGTATATGCTGTAGTGAACTGTTACCCAAACGTTTCTCGGTGTGGTTTTCCCCCTTACTACTTATGGAACTCTTCCTTTCCACTCCTCTGCACTCCACTGATTTATGTAATGTAGCTGGAATGAAAAGTGCTGCGCAGGGGGTGGAAATCTGGCTCACTGAAAGTCAAACAGATGAGGAGGCTTGTTTTAATTGTTAGTCTCATGGTATGGCTGACATGGAGCTTGTGCTGGGGACTCCGGATTTATAGTCCCAGGCCAGTGTTCCCATTGCAACCAGGGCAGAATCACATTTAATTTGATTTTGTATCTTGTTTAATCTGGTGTATGTGACTATTAAAGCAGCAATAAACAAGGTTTGTACCTTACTGTAAAGTGCAATATGCCTGCATTATGCCTTTGGTAGGTTGATCAGGTTGTTGATCAATACCAGTGACTGATTATTTCACCAGATGCTCAGATTGTTTGTTCAAGTGCTCAAATGGAGCACGGCGCTACGAGAGACACTAGCAGCAAGCCAAGATTGGTTTCGCCTCACAAATATTTGTTTGCCCTGGCAGTGTTGTGTTCGCCTCGATTTCACACCAGGGGAATGAAACAGCAAAAGCATTTAGATTTAGTGAAGTGTTTTTCTATCACTGATTTTTCAAAATATAAATAATTGTTCCAGAACGTGTCACTGGGACACAAGTGGGAAAAAAAAGCTGGATCCACTGAGTCTCCATATTACTTGTCATTTCTTTAGTCCATTTGCTGCTGCACTGTTCAGTGCTGTGCAGATGTTTTAGGTACTGGAAGTAAAGAGGATGCTTTCAAAATAATACCATGAGTAACACCAGTTCTCCTCAGTACAGTTGCACAGTCAAAGTACTATTAGGTGGGTTGTTCCAACCATCTTGAAGGATGCGTCACAGTTCTTCTGTGGGTTCAGGCTGTCTCACTCTGTCTCTCCTTGTGAGCCCAGACGGACTCCATGATGATGAGATCAGGGCTCTCGGGGGGGCCACGGGTCGATCATGACACATTGGGCCCCTGGGGATAGACATGTACGTGAAAGGGCCCCACCCTTATACATAGAGGCAGCACTGAAAAAGAATCTCTTTAAAGTTGCCTATAGCATCTCTTTGTGATTGTTTAGTGTGTCTGTGAGCAGTTTGAGTCTCTTTGTGGTCATATTGTGTCTCTTGGTGGTCATTTTGCACCAGAATTAAATTTCTTGTTTTCAACATACTTGGCAAAAAAAAAAATTGATTCTGATTCTCCTTGTAGTCATTTTGCGGTTGTTTAGTATCTGTATGTGGATGTTGTGTGTCTCTTTGAGGACAATTTGCATCTCTTTGAGGTCGTTTTGTCTTTTTACAGTTGTGTGGTACGTCTTTGCAGACATTTTGTGTCTCTTTGTGGTCATATTGTGTGTGTGATCGTTTTGCTTCTCTAGATAGTCATTTTGCATCTCCTGGCAGTTATTTAGCATCTCTTTGCAGATGCTTTGTGTCTCAGATGACATTTTGCATCTTTTTGCAGATGTTTTTTGTGTCTCTTTATGATTGTTTTGTGTCTCTTTCTGGGATATTTTGCAGGCGGGCTCCAGGGCTCCCCTTGGCCCTCGGTCCACTGGGCCTGTGCAGGGTAGGACTGTTCAATAATCCCCTTTGTTCTTTATGACTTTGGCTCTATGTTTGGGCTCGCTGCCATCCTGCCAGATACAGGACTGTTTACTAAGGCAGTACTACAAATTTCAGTACAACACTTCAAGCAGACATTCATTCTTGACTTTGGATATAGCACAACAGTCTCAACTTATTTGCTTGTTTTGGGGCTTTCAGTCATGTCACATTAGTTTTAAACACTTCTTGTCAATATTGACTAAAAGCTGCCAGTTTGACAGTTTGTTCTGCAGCAGCTGACTCTCAAAACATATCTGACATGGCCAAAAGCTTTGGACAGGTGAGCGAGTGGACCTTGAGCTGAGCTTGTCCTGTCTCACGTGGTGCTTTGTTCCGAGACCAGGATTGTTACTATAACTACTTGAGTGGGAAAGTTCATTAGAAATAGCAGGCTGACCAAATAATGTTGACCCCAGGTCCGGCTTTTTAAACCATGAAGCTACAGCTAGCGGCTGGTTAGCTTCAATTAGCATAAAAACTGGAAACAGTTCACAGTTTACTAAATCTGCTTGTCTCTAAATTTGACTAATAAATTAACTCTTAATTGTTCCGTCTGTTAACAATTATAAAAGTGACATTTTGTGGTTTTACAGGGAGTTATGTGCTTTTGCTGTGCAGCTTCTCCTGTGGTTACCTCAATGTGTGAGACCGGGAAGAAATAGTTACACTACATAACTCCTCATGAAGCCACAAACTGTCGTTTTACATCTTTGCCTGCACACACTGTGCAGGTAGGTGTGCACAAGAAGGTAAACAGACAGGTACTGGAACCAGAAACCAAAACAGACTACAAGCAGGCTGGCAAGAATCAAACAACAAGAGAACACTGTGAAAACTCAGTGATCAGGCAAAGGACAAAGGGAAACAATCTGGTCTAGAAAGTGGGAGCAGGTGTGTAGTGCAGGGCAGTGTCAGGTGATTGGGAAAAGGGGAGACGCTTGATGCCTGGAGTGGGTATGACAGGAACCATGACAGTGCTAAGTTAACAGACTGTACTCCTAAAAACAAGACAGTGAGCGGGTGCCTCATAAGGACAAATGTTTACCTTCAGGCTACAAGCGCCTGTGGCAGCTGTAGTAGTTATGGCAGAGTCTGGGGTGGATGGCTAGGTCAGGAAAAGATCAGGCTTTAATGCAGGAAACTGCTATGTGTTCCATTTTTCTAATCAACAGTCGGCATTGTTTTTGAGATTACCATAATCGTTTCCTAATTTTGAGCATGTGTTTATTATTCCCTTAATGAAATTCTTTATTTCTAATCGAGATTATGATCTTTTCCTAAACCTAATCAGACTTTACCATTAGGGTTGTCACATCATAAAACTGCAGTGACATTTGTGACACAGACAAGTCACACTGACTAATCACGTCCTCGCTACAGCTCTGAACACTATACAACATCATACAGGAATTTAGTGGAATCACCTATTCTTTTCTTATTAATTTAATAAATATACAAATATTTATTTCAAGGTAACTCGACTTAAAATTTCTATTTTTACTTTCACGTTACCTCAGAACTTCAAAACATGAGCTTTTGACTTGAAATGATGAGTTGAATGAGTGGACTGTAGAGAGTTCACTCAGCTTATCAAAATAAATCTTCAAGAAAACATTGTTATTTTAGCAGAATTCCCACCATGCATTGTTTGAGAGTTAAAAACTCAGAAGAAAACTTGCTCTGTGTCTTTAATGCATGTTAAGATTCATAACCATGGTGACGGTTACCATGGCAGCCACCACCTATCCCCGCTTCTCCGTGTTACTTTCTGGTAAGCGGCTTCAGTCACTAAGTCCTTCAGAATAAATGAAGAACTGATTCTTCAGACTTAAAAAAGTAAAAGAAAAATCAATCAGTCAGTATGACAAAGCAGTTGTTGATTCAACTTAATATTTTATGAACTTGTTTTCTCGAGTTCAGTAAGTTCAGTAGCTCTGTTGATTTTTATTTTGTCCAAACTTATAAAACAGCTAATTATTCAATCTAAGTTCCATTAACTCACTTATGTTGAACCAGTGTAAAATGATTTACATTGGACTTGGGTGTCTTTCCTAATAGCTTGAAAAATTCTTTTAACCAGAATCCCCCCCCAAATAAAAACAAAAACCCTGAAGAGCAGAAGAAATAACGTCTCAATAAAGCTGCTTGGAAGCAATGATGAAACACCACCAGTGTTTTTTTTTTCTTTCTGTTTTTTATTGCGAAAGAGCTGCTGGTTATCTTCACAAAGCTTGGATAAAGCAGCCAATTGAAAGATGTGTTGAGAGAATTTTTTTCTTTGCTGACTTTTTGGAAATGTTATTAAAATTTGAGCCACATTTGGTTGGAAACAACTCATTACTGCAATTCCCTCTGGTGGCCCAACGAGGTCATTTGGAGTCAAAGCTTTGTTACTAATGTCTCTTTAATACCCATGTTTATATTACATAAAGCAAGATGACATAATGCATTTAATTAAGGGTTCAAAGTCGCAGAGAAGCTATGATCATATGGGATGTATTAGTGTTAAGCAAGAAACAAATTAGCTTTCTCTTTTGTAAATATTTGTTACCATGCCTCTGAAAAAAACACCCTGCAGTCTGAATTTGTCACGTCCCATCTCATGTTTGTTTGAACTCTTGCTTTATGATGGTTGTGCCTGTATTAATCGCATGCTGATGAAATGGTTTGTCGCTTATTTTCCTCAGCTGCCAGGTCCCCACATACCGTTCATGGACATTAACGGTGATTGTCCTACCAGCAGAGATCATTGTGGTCTGATTCAGTAATGTTATTCCTGGCCAGAGGTGCGTGCTATTTTGCAACACCCAAGGGTGACACAGCTGGTAATATGACCCTCTGCGTGTATCAGAGGTAACTGTTTCAACATTGTTTCTGGTGTACATTAACTGCAGGCTTAATGTCTTTTTAAATCTTGTTTACTTTGGAAATTATTACAACTTTTCTTCTTAGCACAGTCCAGTGAATTAGTGGGATTATAAAAGTTTCACTTAATACACAAAGGGTAGTTTATTCAACAAGATGATTATAAACTCCAGATTTTTGCTTGGGGTTATTCTCACAGTGCAAGAATGGAAAACAAATGTCTTAAAGATGTGTGTGTGTGTGTGTATTTATCCTCTATGGTTTAGATTTGAATCCATATTTATTTCATTTATCAGGCGAACCCTCCGTCTTCTGCGTGATTGATGTGATGATTCAGTGTTGGACTGAGGTGGACATGCTGTTGTGTTAAGGTCATTTAATTAAAGTAGCAATGCCACAATGTAAGAATAAGATGTTGATACATGATTGATTAACGTTGCAGCTGGTTGTGGTGACCCAAACACTCACTGTAAACAAAGCAGAGAGCTCGCCAATTAATTCGGTTCCTGTGATTCATAATGAAGAAACATGTCACCCAGTGCAGATGTGTGTTTTCAATCATTTTTAACAATGGAGCTCTATGGCACAGATTAATAATAATCCAGGTTGGAGACTGACAGACATTAATCGTGAGTAGAGGCAATTCATTGTTAGTGCTGTTCTCTGTGTGGGGAGTGATGAAAAAACTATTAATATAGAAAATGACCAGCCTTATTTTTTAACTGCTAAATGCTGCAGATTGTTCAGGGGCTTGTTAGTAAAGCTGTCTGTCTGAACCAAAATAGCAAAGTCAGTAGAAGCAACGAAATGATCCAGGCTCCACACATTTACAACAGACCATGTGTACTGTAACTGTATGGTTCGAATATTTCTTTGTTTGTTTAGTTACTAATTATATTAATAATATTATTTTTTGGTTTGTTAGTTTTGTTTTGTTTTTGGTTTCTTCGGTGCAGTGGAAACGAGCACAATGCTGGCATAACATCACCTTTTACGTTGATATGGTTAACTCGTTAGCAAACAGTTGCTTATGTACGCATCCAATCAGAGCATCTTTACATTCATCTATCTGACAGATGTACTACATCTCTCTTTGCTCTGTTTTTGGTCCCCACCAACTCCTGAAGGTAATATCTGCTTCTTTACCTGCTAAATGATTCACTGTGTTCACAAGTTAGTTGTTAACACTGTGAGCAGGTAATGTACAGAGGATTGCCAGTGTAAATAGCTGCTAGAACACAAGGTTCATGACAGCAAGCCCTAAAATCAAATTGTTGGTTGGTCAGTACAGTGTTTTCACCTGATTATACATCATTTCATCCATTTTTAATATGAAATATCATTAGTGCAGCAACCAAAGTTTATTTGGCATGAGGTTCTCACACAGAGGTTAATATTACACCGTAGAAACTCACATTGTCCAATAAAAGTTGCAGTATTATTATGTCAAATGAAAAATATACTTCTTACAGTGAATGTAGTCACAGCCAGCAGCAACATGATGTGGTGTTTTTGTATAAATTAGTGTTGGGATGTGCTTACAGAGGCGACTCGATATAGAGGGAGTTGTTGCAGTAAAGTTTAAATATTATTACTGGGAGCTACCTAAGACTAACATACAAGCAAAACAAATATAGCAGTTAGAGATCTGTCGAGATTAATGGCGCCTCACAGAATCAGCAAAGTAGATGTAATTTTGCATTTCAAAGCTTTAGTGCAAAAAAACCCCAAAGAGGAGTGTTTTTTTTTTTAATTCAGAGGCCCTTCTGGAAACACAGGGAGAAATGTCTGAGTGTATACAAACTACAGTGTTCAGACAGAAAATGGTAACGAGGGATAAGTGTATGTTAACAGTGTTAATTTAATAAGACTATTTTTGTATCATCTTCTCTTGGCTTAATTCAGTCTCCTCTCAGCCCAAATGTTTTTGCACTTGACTCCAAAACAATCCTTTGTCCTTTGGCAAAAGCAGTTGTTATTTATTAGCGGTGATGTGTTAGAAAAATCTGGTCCTTGAAATATGCAGTCTCAGCAAAGCCCTTCCACTTTGAATTCATCCACTTGCATGAGGCTGGTACAAATAACTGAATCAACAAA